TTATTATAAAGGCTGGCCAACTTTTCTACTATTAAAAAAACAAACGGATATGTATAATTATTTGCATGAACTGGATTTATGAATTTATGAATAAAATTAGCCTCGAGATTCATGAATTGGATGCATGAATAATTATGATTTTTGCACAATTAGTAAACAAATTACATACATGAATTGGATATGTGGATTTTGACGAAAAAAATTTATATGTCACCAAATTAATTTTGATACATGTAAAGATGATTATACTTATAAAAATAAAAATAAAAAAATACTACCTTCGCAAAATTTTGAAAGATGAAGCTATCATGCTGATGACGTTTTATAAAAAAAGAGAGGAAAAAAAGAGATGATGAAAATCAATAGATGTACTATAATAAGAACCAAAGTATAATATTTATAGAGAAAGATTAGAGATATAATGGTAATAATTTCTAGAGCTACAAGAATACAATTGTCATTCACTAATAACTTTATAATTTACAACAAAATTGAGATTTATCATTTTTACTTCAATATATCAGTATTTGTGCAATAAAAAAATGTGAAAAGGTAATTATGATATACTTATTTTAAAGGGGATTGCTTGTGCAATTTTCACAATCAAATCAAAATCCAGAGCCAAATTTAGACTCCATGCAAGATGGAAAAACTTTGGATTTTTAAAGCCCGAAATACACTTTGGGGTGTCATTAACTGAATCAATCAAAACCATTCATTATCGGCCTCTTCAAATTTGTATCATCCGAAAGCTAGGATGACTCAATTTCCGATCAAAGGAGTGCGTACTGTCACGGACTTGCTAATTTCCTTCAAGAACTGTGCGGCCTTAGTGTCTTCAACTTCCGCCCCCGCGGTTATTACACTAAGTCAGCCTCCCGATTGGCGTTGATGTCTTAGAAAGGCACTAAGTAGAACACTTTAAGAAAGGGACAATGAAGGAACACAAGAATTTACAAAGAAGGTTTTGTATTGAATAAGGATACTCTTTACAACTTCACTTTCTTGATGCCTTCAAATGAATCCTACCAAGCTATTTATAGTAGTAGCCTCCTCAAATGGATGGCTAGAATTTTTTCTATCCAATGGTCTAGATTACACATCTAGAATTATCTATACAAATATCTACATTAAAATATCTATGGACTAGATTAGGATGATCTAGAATAATCCACCAAGTGAGGAGCTTGTAGGCTTCTAGAATGTCCCACCATATTCTAGCAATCTTCATGCACTTGTGGGAGTCTAGAATATTCCAGTTAGCCTCGAGTCGTCAACATTTTAAATTTCTCGATCTTCTTGTGCCAAAATCGAGCGAGTCGTGACAGTACGCTCAATATGTTACCTTATTCCTGACAAGTTGTAGTATCATAGGGTGAGTAGACTTCATATCGTTATAAAGTTACAATCATATTTGAATCTATATATTTACCTGGCAACTTATACGATGACTTCGAGGCCATCAAATAAATTAAAAATACCTTCACAAAACCATCAATTATCAAAAAATTTAGTCAAAGGCCAGCCAGCATCTCCATTACCTCACTTGAAACTTAAATATTATCCAAATCTAATGTCACTCATTGTCCAACAATTTTAAATGACATAATTTTTTCAGTTCAAGATCCTATAATTTCGGCATTTTGTTGTTACATGAAATTCGAATACTTTATTATTACTAAACATTTAACTTAGTCATCCATTAAACCGGCAGATTCCAATTAGTCGACCATTTTAATCTTTCTTTAATTGTTTAATTTAATTTCAATTAGTTTGTGACTCTTGAGATTCTGAATTGTCATGGCATAAATGACCGTCCAGAATTTTCTAATACGGTTAAAATATTTCGTACTTCTTAAAAAAAAAAAAAAAAAAAA